CCTTTCCGTGAAGCAATTTTTGACCAAAAACGCCATGACACCAATTGTCCACCCCCCATACTCACCGGATCTAGCCCCCTGTGACTTCTTTTTGTTCCCCAAATTCAAAAGGAATATGAAAGGAAAGCGTTTTGCCACTGTGGAGGAGGTGAAACAAAAATCGCTGGAAGGCTTAAAGGACATCCCGATGAGTGAATTTAAAAACTGTTTTGAACAATGGAAGAATCGTTTGGAGAAGTGCGTTGTGGTCAATGGCGAATACTTTGAAGGTGATTAAAATTTGGTGTTAAAATATTGAGAAATAAAGAAGTTATGACGAAATTCCCGTTTTTTTTGAGTCCCCCCTCGTACTCAATCTCCCATCTAGATACTCCTTTTAAAACTTTCGAGAACTTTCCTTCTCCTTTAAGAACGAGATTCCTTCGAGAATACCATTATTCTATCTAGAGCCATTCGCTACACTATCAAGTAAACAATTACTCATTACCCCCCTCCCCCCGTCCCTCTCTCTCGTATATATTATTAATACCTGTAATATCAATCTATCACAGAGATCATGTCATATGACGTAAAGTATATATTATACATTAAGTAATTTTATTATAACACTAGACCCAACTTAGATCTAGTTGAATCAACGTTACTTTGATTTTAAGCGAAACTTAAAACTCTTTATTTCATTTTAAAACCTAAAAGAGACAGAGACAAAGAGAGTTTTAAGCCTTGTTTAAAATTAAAGTAATGTTGATGCAACCGGGCCTTAAAAGCTTAAAACTTAAAGAATTAATTTTTCAAAAAAACATTTCATTTCTTATCAATACTATGTTAAAATTAAAATCACAGACAAAAAAGTGTACAAAACTTCGAATTAAATTTAATAATTGCACTGTATCCTTCAATTCATAAAAGAATGTGCAAAATCAAGAATACAAATAGAAAAATAAATAAATCTGCATCAGACTGAAGGATCACCAGCTGATTGATACTTTTAAAACATAAGCTGTTTAGTTAGAAGTTTGGTCATACTTTTACATATCAATTTAATTACATATAATTCGCAATATTTGCTGCTTTTTCTGTTTTTTTTCAGATGGGAGTAAATTTTTAATGATAGTATTAGCTGCCAAAGAGCTATCTTCTTATACTTCCGAGTTTATAGTTAATGTCGATGAAGTTGTAGAGTATTTGTTCTCTAATAAAGAAGTAACTTTACAAATTGTGTTCTGTAAAAAATCTGGTTGAGATTTTCCTTTTGGTTTTATCTACAATGTACTTAATTTTTTTTTGCTCAAAATCGGAGATGCTTAATGTAGATAAATGGATGTTAGATGAACTACAATATAAAACATAAATAATTTACAAGAAAATATGAATAATTTTATAAATACTTGTCTATATGTACATGTATGTACACAAACAAACATTCATAAAATTATATTTTAAAAACAATGTACACACACACATCCACCCACGCACGCACGCACGCACGCATATACAGAGAGGGACATTTAAAACAGGTTATCTGAATAATTCGCTTGTTTTTAACAATAGAAGAAAAAATATCAAACAAAAGTTGCTTGGTTTCGAGGGGCATATAATGTGATGTCAATAATTGTTTTGTAGGTGAAGACGTAAAGGATAGGCAAAGATCAAATCTGTTTTTTTAGATGGAATGATATGTTTTTTTACTTATATTCTGATAGAGCATTTTAAGACGAATACAATGACCTATAATTGAAAGTCATTCAAGATTATGCAAAATCAATAATGGAAAATAATTGAATGTGTTACGTCCGGACTCTACAGTTCTTTTCTTCGACTAAAACTTCGTCATCACCATAATAATTATTAACAAATAATATCGGTAGACCATCTGTTTCTACCATGAGAGATTACAATAGCGACGAGCCGAATAACATTTACCTTTTTAAACTAATAATCCACTCGGGACAGAGTCGTTGGATTAGATATTTGAACCAAGTGCCAAATAGGCGAACTTTATCCCGAGGAACAGGAAGAATAAATAGATTAGAATTATAAAACAGCAGTTGTCTGTAATAAATGACACATGTGGCTCTAAAGTATTGGACATCCGGCAAATGGTCGATGACGAAAGTTGTCTTAAACACATACTCCTGTATCTCAATTCACAACCGATATCCTAATCCTAATCCTAGATTAGACCAACAGCACACGTGCTCTGCACTCGGCACCACTAACTCGCCAATATAAAAAGAGGTCCTCCACGAGGAACGCTTAGTCGTCAGTCATTTTTCTAACCATTACTCTGCCGGTCTCTGTTGGCAGTCGTCAGTTTTTCCCAAACGAAACTCTGTCGGTTCGCGACTATACACAGTTCTCAGTCGAACTCCATCTCCTTTGAAACTTTGAATAAGAGTGACTCGACCGGAGCCTCCGCATCCAAGTGGGAACCCTCCGTGGAGTGCTGGGACCAAAGAAATTCAGCCGTTGGATCCACCCTCATCCGCAGAATAACAGTAAGTCCCATTCTGACCCACATACACACTCACACGCACATATATATATATATATATATATATATATATGTAAATAAGAAGCATCCACTATAATTTACACTAAATTATAGTGCCGCGTCTAAATCGTCCCTACAAGGGGTGACTTAGAAGCCGGGCCTACCGGGAAGCGCGGAGATTCTTGGACGAGGAGTTTCGGAGATACCTCGGAGGTTCGCGAGAATAGAATCGCCCGGCCGAGGACCATTTGCTACCACCATCACCCTCGTCACCCCCGGCTCCGCCGGCTATACCTGATCAGTTATAGGTTATACCTCCCCCTCAACCACCTTCACCTTCCCCTCAACCATCTTCACCTTCCTCTCAACCGTCCTCACCACCCCCGCAAACTCCTTCGCCTCCCCCTCGATTTCCATCACTCACATTTTCGGACGCACTGACGGAGCGAAACTTTCCAGATACTTCCCCACTATCACCCGTTTCGTCGGTCAATCCTATCCCAATTTCTCCTAGAGGAATTCCGTCGAATCCCTGACGAACTCCACGGACAGTGTGGAGTTCTTAGAGGAAATTCCTCCGCCCCCACCTAGATCTTATTTCCGAATCCTAGAAAGTGACACTCTCGAGTCACTCATCAGCCAATTCCCGCGGACTATTATCGCATCCATCCCTCAGGGGGCCTACACAATCGGCCTTCATTACTTCGATCCTGAGGAAATCCGGAATCACTGGCTAAAACTCAACCTCCTGTATCCCTGTATTCCTCCCGAATTCCGCCAATTCATTCCTAGTTCCAGCGGAATTCTTTTACAATCTTTTCCCTTCTTCCTCAGTTTCTATCCATGAAATAGATTAATCAAATCCCATCCGATTCCCCCGACTACTCGATGTACGAGGGTGGTCCCAGAAATACCCGACCTAACAAAGAAAACACAAAAAATTCTGTTGGGAAAAAATATCTTTATTTCTCAACATAGTCTCCTTTTAGCTCGATACACTTTTCCCAGCGATGTTCAATAGCTTCAATGGCCTGTTTATAATAAGAACCGTTGAACTCCTCAAAATAGCCATTAACCGCAGACTCCACCTCTTCATTGTTGGTAAATCTTCTACCACCGAGCCATTTTTTCAAGTTTGGAAAGAGAAAATAATCCGAGGGGGCTAAATCTGGCGAATAGGGTGTGTGGGGAAGCAATTCGAACTTTAACTCAACATCCTCTCGACGCTGCTTTTGTTCGATTGTGAGCAAGCGCGGCACCCACCTTGCGCACAGCTTTCTCATCTCCAAATTTTCAGCCAATATGCGATGTACAGCACTTTTTGAAATGTTTACCATGTCTGCTAGCTCGCGCACTTTCAATCGACGGTCACCCAATACTATTTTGTGGATTTTCTTCACCATTTCTGGAATGGCCACCTCACTTGGTCGACCACTGCGATGTTCGTCTTCGCAGCTCGTACGGCCTCGTTTAAACTCTGTCACCCAATATTTTACTGTTGTAAACGAAGGAGCAGACTCCTCCAGAGTAGAATCCAGCTCGGCTTTGATATTGGTTGAGCTAAGACCTTTCAAATGAAAGTATTGTATCACATAACGATGACCAATTTTTTCCATCTTTGCAAATTCACCGAGATCGTCCACTATTGATGGCTGTCAAACAAATACTGAACAACGTAGCGTCTTCAAACTTCATAGTTAAGCTTTAGAAAGTTGGTGCTTTCCCCTACAGTGATTTTTTTTATACAACAACCGCCATTTGTACGTCAGGTCGGGTACTTCTGAGACCACCCTCGTACATAAAGCGTATGCCCGTTACTGAATAGATTGTTGCGGTATTTATGTAATAGATTAAAATGTATAGATTAGTTATAATAAATACGCCTATTGTTATGTAATCGTCTGTTATTCTTATCTTTTGATTAGCAACAATAAATAATATTAGTAATTATTCTTCTCGCTCTCGTCATTCACTTTTGAAACTCCCTAATAAAACCTCGTAATCATTAAACTTTGCCCTTTCAGAGCTCGCACGTGGTCCGTTCCCGAGTTAAAGGAATTTACCTGACTCGAAATTCGGACCGACGATCGCACCGTTCGTAGGAAATAGGTGTCATAGCGTCTTTACGAGACGTTCACCCATATTCCGAAGCGAGCAATAAAAAGGGTGCGTTCGACTCGCGATATTTGCTTCTGTGCGGATACCTGCGAGATAAGAGTCTGACCGTCCTTCCACACTCCATCCTTTCTACTCTTTTCTCTCTTTAAATCCATTTTCTGAGTTTGGACGTAACAAATGCAATAGAAAATAAATTGTTTCAAGGCACTTTTCGAATAATTTCGTGTATTCTTCTCTTCTTGTTGGTATACCGCTAATCGTTCAAGTGTATGTAAATATTTACATATCGTTTAAATTGAATCGCACGTAGCATTATCCATATTTACTGACAGTTTGAATTCATCTATCGATCAAAGTGCGTGTCTTGCGAAATGTGTTATACAAAAGCGGAAAAAGTCGATATGATTTTCATGTATGGTGAATGTCGCCAAATTATGAGAGAAACAATACGTTTGTATGCTGAAAGATTTCCTGATCGTGTCGATTCCTCATTCTCTGTTTTTTCAACATAGTACAAACTTTTCAAGAAACAGGAAGTGTGGATAATAAAAAACGCAAAGGTATCAAGAAAGCAACTGACGACGAATTCAACGAACATTTTAGCCGCTGTAGCACTAATCCACATATCAGTACAAGACAGTTTGAACGTGAAAGTGGTATTAGTCGATGAAGTGTTTTGTGAATACTCCATTCCAACAAATTTCATCTCTTCCATATCTCACTTCATCAAGAGTTACATGGCAATGATTTTCAAAATCATGTACAATTCTATGAATGGGCACTACAAAGACTACAAGAAGTTGATATGTTTGTCACTAAAATCTTATTTACTAACGAAGCTACATTTACAAATAATGGACAAGTAAATCTTCGCAACATGCACTATTGGCTAATAGAAAATCCACACTGAATGAGAGAAGTGAATAGGCAGAAACCTTGGTCTATAAACGTCTAAACTGGAATTCTTAATGATAAAATAATTGGTCCTTATTTTATCGACCATTAAATAGTCGCAAGTATGCACAGATTTTAACAAAAATATTACTACTATTATTAGAAGATCTTCCACTGAACGTATGACAATCAATGTGGTACCAGCAAGATGGATGTCCTGCTCATTCTGTACGGATTATTACTGAATTGCTAAACAGAAAATTTAGAAATCGTTGGATTGGTCGGTTAGGAAATAACAGATGGGCCACACGTTCCCAAGATTTAGCACCTATGGATTATTATTTGTGGGGAAAGTTAAATAAATAAATGTACAGCGAAATGTCGATAACAAGAGAAGACATGAAGGAACGTAAAAGAGCTTGCTTTACGATTGATCTGAATGAAATTCGTAGTGAAGTGTTATCTGTGTCGACACGTTTCAGAAAATGTCGATGTTCAGGGTCATCATTTTGAACACTTGTTGCGTACACGGTAAGTACGCAAATAAGTAAGTTAGTGAAATATTCGAAAAATGCTTTCAAACAATTTATTTTCAATTACAGCTAACCTTATTATATTTAAATAAACCTTTAATGTTTATTTACATACCGTGGTATACTTGAATAATTAGCGATATACCAACAAGAAGAGAAGACACAAAATTATTCGAAGAGTGCCTTGAAACAATTTATTTTCCATTACATTCAATTATTTTTCATTATTGACCTTGCGTAACCTTAAATGATCTTCAATTTCATTGTATTCGTCTTAAAATGCTCTATCAGAATGTAAGAAGTAAAAAAACATATCATTCCATTAAAAAAAACAGATTTGACCTTTGCCTATCCTTTACGTCTTCATCTACGTCACAAAACAATTATTAACATCACATTATATGCCCCTCGAAACCAAGCAACTTTTGTTGAACACTTTTTCTTCTATTGTTAAAAACAAACGAGTTATTCAGGTGACCCGTTTTAAATGCTCCTCCCTGTATATACGAGGTCTGTTCAAAAAGTATCGCGAATTTTGTGTTTTTTCAAAAATTATTTATTTATTCATGAATATCTATTTTATAATATCTCCTTCAAAGTAATCCCCATCAGATATTATACACTTGTGCCAATGTTTTTTCCAATCCTCGAAGCACTTCAAAAAATTATTTTTTGTGATCTTGTTCAGCTCCTCCTTCGATGCCGTCTTTATCTTTTCAATCGTAGCGTAGCGTCGTCCTTTCATGGGCCTCTTCAGTTTCGGGAACAAGAAAAAGTCACAGGGGGCCAGATCTGGGGAATACGGTGGCTGCGGCATCATTAGTGTGTTGTTTTTGGTCAAAAATTCGCGCACAAGCAACGATGTGTGAGCAGGGGCGTTATCATGGTGCAGAAGCCAATTTTTGTTCTTCCACAAATCCGGGCGTTTCTGGCGGATTGCTTCGCGCAAATTGCGCATAACTTGCAGGTAATATTCCTTATTGACCGTTCTACCCTGTGGCAAGAACTCATGATGCACCACGCTCCTGCAATCGAAAAAAACTGTAAGCAAAACCTTCACATTCGATCGAACTTGGCGCGCTTTTTTCGGTCTTGGCTCGTGCGGCAGCTTCCATTGGGATGATTGAGCTTTGGTTTCCACGTCATAACCA